GAGCCTCTGAAGGACTTCAAGTATCGATTTTCCACCCCCTTTCAGAAGATCCGCTGTAATTCCATTCTCGCCCTGGGACTTGCCGTTTTTAAGGTGCTGGAGAGCCATTCTAATCTCGCTTAAACTGACGTCCGGGATATCATCGGAGTAGTGTCGGATAAGACTTGCTCTTAGATCATTACTCACACTTGCGTGTGGCTCCAACGATGATGTGTACAGCTGCCCGCAGAACCTCTCAATCTCACTCAGAATCTCAGGTGTCCCGGAAACGATGCTGCCACACTCAGTCTTCACCTTTTGACAGTTGGCTCTTACTACTACTAGAGGCCCTGGTTCCGCTCGATCGCTTCTTCAATACAAGCAGTATTAAAGTTGCGCAAGTTTCTCCGCATGCATTTGGAGATCTGTCTGTTCAGTTGCTTGTATGCTGTCAAATCTGTTGACGATTGCAGCCTCATCTCCCGTCTAACAGCCATGAGATTAAGAGTGTGATCGGAGAGTTTTTGTGTTCTTCTGCGGCGGGTCTTGCAGAACTTAGCTCCGACCGCATGGACAGTTTCCACGAGCTTGTCGTTCATATCGTCCACTGCATTGAAATCTTCTAGGCACTGAAAACGGTTACGTAACTCGAGCTGAAAAGTTTCGGGATTCTGGATTAGAGCACGAGGGGGACGGAGCGTTGACTTCATTAGACGAGACCTCTCCAACTTAACGTTTAGGTTCAGTGTGCCTCTAACCATTCGGAGATCGCTGCCAGTTTTCACCCTTGCGATCACTGAGACATCACTGCATAGTTGGCGTCTGGTCGTCATAATGAAGTCAATCTCATTTTTTTGTCTAACCGTCGGGGCTCGACCAGGTCCACTTCCTGTGGGGCCGCTTTTGGAAGAAAGAGTTCATCATAAAGAGTCTCTCTTTCTCCATAAAGTCGGCTAACTGCTGGCCCCTACGGTTCCGTAGCCTTACTCCAAATTTCCCTAACTTCAGCTCACCGCTTTCTCTTGTGCCTAGTTTTGCGTTGAAGTCTCCCATCAACAGCGTGTAGTGGGTTTTGGAGGAATGCATGGCTCTGGAAATATCCTCATACATTTCCTCCACCTCCTCATCGGGATGTGCCAAGGTTGGTGCGTAAACCTGTACGACCTTCAGCGAATACCGTTTGGTGATTCCGAGTATCAGGTACGCGATCCTCGTCGACACACTCCCAATCTTTACAACATAGTTGACGATAGACTTGTGGACGACAAATCCGACACCTCCTTGAGACAGACGGTCGCCCTCCTAGTGATAGAACAAGTTGCCGGACTCGAGGATTACCGTGTTCTCCCCCTTCTTCGGACCTCGGATAATCCAATAATATGCCAGCGCAACTTGTCTACCTCTTCTTCCAGCTCCAGTATCTTCTCGTCAGTCCTCAGGGTGCCTACGTTATATGTTGCCAAGTCGAGTCGTCGTAGGTGGCAACCGAACATCCACCGGAGATTCTTAGCACCCCCTGCCCGCCGTTACCATGGTCGCCACCGTAGACAAGAATAGCGGGGCCGCCGGGAACTGGGAGCGGGTTTGCAACCGCAGTTTTTAATCACATTATTGTTGTTATTAGGAAGGTGCTGCTGCCCATATCCTGCCTGTCTCCCTCTGTCGCCTCTTAAGACACCGTAATTATAATAAATTACTAAAAATTATTCTACGTGAAGAAAGTCGCAGGCACACCTAGTGCTAAATAAACGGAATACTAATTGATTGTAATGGTTCAATTTCTTTATCTATTCACCATCTGTCAAACAATAATAACATCATAATGTTTAAGAGAATTTAAAGAAATGTGCAAACTAAAGTGTTAAGTATGGAATAGAGGAGTTGCATGTTATTTTAAGTTTTTTTCTGAAAATTTACGTAAAATTATTAAGAATAACTTAATAAAATAATAGAAATTTATTTTTCATGTAATTTTACAATTAAACATGTTTTTTCTAAAATCCTATACTATTAAACGAGCAATTCTTGTATATATATATATATATATATAATCGGGATCTCGGAAACGGCTCCAACGATTTTCATAAAATTTAGTGTCCAGGGAGTTTCGGGGATAAAAAATCGATCTAGCTAGGATTTATTTTTAGAAAATGTCTTTTTGTCCGTGTTTTTAGGCAATGAAAACTGCTACAATATCGTTAGAATAAGAAGATAAATTTTTACAGATAGTTAATGATTATATATGGCTTAATTGGTATAATGGGCGATCATAGAATCGTAAAACTCCGGTTCGGGCCCAGACCGACCGACCGACTTTTTTTAATTTTTTTTTTCAAGTTCCTTTCTTTTTTTGAGAAAATCTATTTTTTCAAGCCCTTTTTTTTATCATTTTTTAAAAAAAACGAAAATTTAAATTAAAATAATTGCACTCATGATTTTTTATTCAAATAACCAGTTCCGTTTTTTTCTGTTATGTCGCTAAGATCAAAAAATATTATTTATATTTCATCAGTATGTAATTTGATTAAAACTACTTTTACGGATTTTAGCGCGTTTATTTTTGCTTTTAATTACTTTCATTTTTTATTCCCGACGTTTTGGGCGCTTTCCAGCACCCATGGTCACGGGGGACTGATGAGTTGAGTATGTAATTTGTATCTAAATATAATTTCCAAAACACACGAATTAAAAAAAATCGATCGAAAAATACCGAGCAAAGCTCGGTCAACCAGGTACTGGAAATTCAAACGACAGTGACGTTCTATCGCTTTAGTAACGCGACCGCATGGTGTAATGAACACTTCATAGATCAATTTATACTTAATCTATAGAACACTTATGTTTATGTATGTATGTAATTACTCTAAGGTTTACGTTGTCAAAATAAAAAAAAATATCTTCTCGTCAGTCCTCAGGGTCGTTATATGTTGCCAAGTCGAGTCGTCGTAGGTGGCAACCGAACATCTACCGGAGATTCTTAGCACCCCCTGCCCGCCGTTACCATGGTCGCCACCGTAGACAAGAATAGCGGGGCCGCCGGGAACTGGGAGCCGTTTGTATGCGTTGTTACTCATGGGAGGATGTTTGCCATAGTTGCCACGCTTGGCGAGCGGGTTTGCAACCGCAGTTTTTAATCACATTATTGTTGTTATTAGGAAGGTGCTGCTGCCCATCTCCTGCCTGTCTCCCTCTGTCGCCTCTTAAGATACCCACGGGAAGATATGGAGTAGTGGATAACGGACGGCAAATAATTTTAACTAAATACATATGAAATTATATATATATATATATATATATATATATATATATATATACTTTCATATGTATTTATTTAAATGCTGTTATTTTGACATTACGGACACTTAAATTTTATTTGTTTGTATGGGATATTAAAAAAAGTGTCACAATATTAGCTCGCTGCAGCTAAATTATGTTTCTAGCATGAATGGATCGGCAGCGTAATAGCAGCATAATATTGCTGTATTCGTATGGTGAATGTAGAGAACCGGAGATCTTTATTTAATGGCAACAAAGTATTCCATCTGAGTCCAGAGGTGACAACGCATCTCGATTTTATTCATGAATCGATACAGATGTTGGTGGCCTCTTATCATACTCTTTCCATCCATTACAGCATATTAAAGTCCACTGCTGAACATAAGCCTCCTCCATGAATTGCCTCATGGGGGGATTTTGCAATAGTTGCCACGCTTGCCTAGCGGGTTCGCAACTGCAGTTTTTTATAATTTTGAGTTGTTTTCAGGAAGACGCTGCTGCCCATGTCCTGGTTTGTTTCCCTGTGTCGCCTCTTACGACACCCACAGGACGCTAAGGAGTAGTAGATATTCTTACACCGCTACTACGCAGGATCCGCCACTACTACATCTTTAGGCGCTCCTTTATAATATTGTATATTATATTATGAAACTTGGTGAGTTTTTGTGCGACCATCCGCGAATCTTTCTAACAAAAATAAACTTTTAATAGAAAATTAATGTTCTACCCCTGTGGTATAGGATGTATCGTAAGTTCAAGGTAAGAACTAGAATGTCTCTAAATAAAATTGAAGTAAAGTTACAGTCTATATACGTCCCACTGCTGGGAACTGGCCTCCCCTCATTTCTGAGAGGGTTATTGTTGCCCTAAGCAAGGAAGTGTCCGCCACGCTGCCCATGCGTCTTGGCGATCTTCACATGTCTTCGAAATATTTTTTTTCTCATTTCTCAGACATGCAGGTTTCCTCACGATGTTTTCCTTCACCGCCGATCACGTGGTAAATCAGCACTAAAATTGCAATTAACAATTTCATTGGTGCCGGCGGGGATCGAACCCGGGTTACTCGAGTTCTGTTATATTTACAGCGAGCGTTAACCATCTGAGCTACCACGACTTCTTGGTCGGTGGTATTGTCTGTAAATAGTTATATTAAAATTTTCATCCTCCGTTTTCCACCGGAATGCCGAATTTCTTTTTTATATTTATATGTGCGTTTAAGTTTACATACTGAATTAAATATAATCATTAAAATTGGTTCAGCACTTTCCTAAAAATGATTAAACATCTCGTACATTTGAACTCTTACTCGGATAAGGACATTGTTACGCATCCCGTGCAAAGCTAGTAGTTGTATAAAACGCTAAAATCAAACAAATATGAAGTATCATATAAATGTATGTGTTGTTACTCGTAGGACAATTTTTCCATACTATCACATAATATTTTTATCGCATTATACAAGGGGAATAATTATAACTCGAAAAATTTTGCAGCATTCTTGAAAATTTTCTCAGTGATTTTTTCTGTCTGGAAATTTTAAAACGCGTACACTCGATTTTTAATTTAAGTAAAAATAAATAAGGGTCAATTATTTTCGTATCTCAAGCGAGCAATCTCTTTTGTTTCAGGCACGATTCGATAAATCCGCCTTGATTGGAAGGAATGACAATAAGAATTGTGTACCATGTGATCGAAATGTTTACAATATATAGAACAAGAAAGCTATAAATAGAAAGGCGTTAGTTATGGACATCGACGAGAAGGTATCGGGCCCGGGAGGTGCTTCGCAGAAGAACTGGACGCATTTGAACACAAGTAATGAGTTACCGTTGGAAATGCGCTTTAACCATGGACACATGGTGTCTATCACAGTGTACACTGTACTGATGATAATCTCAGCGACGGGAAACTTAACAGTGTTGACGCAATTACTGAAAAGGAGGAGGGCCGCCCGCGCGAGTCGACTAGATGTTTTACTTATGCATTTAGCAGTGGCCGATCTTATGGTAGAGTTTTTTAGTATTCCTAGATTGTATTAGTATAATACCTATCTAATAGTTTTCTAGACTTTTCATTGCACCCCTTATCATTCCGTTGATTTTGTAAGAGTCGACAGGACATTTGCAGCAACTTCTTTATGACTAATATCCTACCTTTAAAGCAGTTTATTGGCTGTGTTCAGCAGTGTTGTTATGAGCTATGACTGCCTCGTTGGTCTAGTGGTCGTAGTAGAGCGACTGCTGATCATGAGGTCCTGGGTTCGAATCCCGGGTTGGGCCAAAAAATTAATTACTGAGTTTTTCTGTCAAGAAATTCTCAGTAGCTACCCGAAGGCAGGAAGTTAGCAATGTCACCCCCGTGCCTCGGAAAGCACGTAAAACCGTTGTTCCTGCGCCTGATCTCTCTCCCGGTCGTGTCTGTTTACCTTCCCATCGGATCACGAGAGTGAGGGAATAGACAGTGGACCTGTGCTTGCGCATACATTTGGGCACTATAATCCTGTCCTGCGCCGATGACTAGCCTTCTTTGAGGCAGGCCGCCGTGGCCTAAATTCGATCTGGTGGACATTATGAGGTAGTAGTATCTCTTACGCCTTAAGAATAATCGGTCTACAATTGTTTACTTGGTGCAGCACTACTGAAAAAAATAGGCCTCCTCCAAGGAATACCACAAAGCATAGTCCTGAGCCATCTGTCTACCTGTCATCTCTCCATTTAGTGGGGGGCCGCTCTACACACGAGAAACTTTCTTCTCCATCGTTCGTCAGTTCTTTGATCTTGAGTTTGATATAACCGGCCCATTGCCACTTAGGGCAACAATTGGTGCGGTTTGCTCCCGCAAAAATTAGTATTAACTACAGTGGAGGTGAAATGCGCGCATTGCGGTTGTTCAAATATCTGTAATTTGCCACAGATTTGTTGCGGTGCGACACTGCACGGTTTTTTGCATCCTATGAACTTGTGTGAAACCTCGCACACTGCGGCAGAAATACCGGAGCACGCCACAGTCAGTAGTGCTCGATACATTACACATTACGTAAGTTGAGATACGAATGGCAAAACTTGCAGATGTTTAGCCGCAGTGTACGCGCCAATCCAATTCAGAATTCTGACATACTGGTTTTAAAACCGCAACCACAACTTACCGTACCGCAGTGCACGCTTACCTTAACTGATTCGTTGCTCTGTCTATTGGTTCTACTGAAGATATCCTCATTACGAAGAGACACAACAACTCTCCTAACATAGCCCACTCCATCGTTCTTTCCAAAGACGAAATCTTTTATTTCACATTAAATGGAATATCAATTTTTGACTAAACTCAAGCTGAGTGCTCGCACAGGTTACATTCCTGATGATGCCGCTGGAGATCGCGTGGGCGGGGACGGTGCAATGGTTGGCCGGCGACTTCATGTGCCGCCTTATGATGTTCACGAGAACATTCGGACTCTATCTCTCTAGCTTCGTGCTCATATGTATCGCAATTGATAGGTAAGTGACTGTCTAAACCATTGCGTTAACTAAACCAACCATATATTATATGTGCGCCCTACTCCTAGGCACACTCATTAGAAAGGGGTTTAAGGGCAAAACGATTCCCCACGTTTTGCCTCTATACACATTTGCGAACTTAACATGCCTTCAAAATATTTTTTTTAATTTCTCAGGTATATTTCCTCAAGTGTTTTCCTTCACCGCTGATTACATGCTAAATCGGCACCTAAAATTACAGTTAACAATTTCATTAGTGCCGGCGGCGATCCAACCCGAGTTGCTCGCGTACTGAAATTTACAGCGAGCGTTTAAACTTTGAGCTATTCGGCGGTTAGGTATATAATATTAAAAGGTCGGGGAAAAAATTCTTCGTACAGTTTTATTTTAACAGTCCTCTCTTGATATTAACCTAACACTACCCAAAGAATTCTTAAGGAATCGAAACAGGTGAAAAACTGAGGGTGCAAGGTCAGCACTATGTGGTAGATGCATTAACACTTTCCAACCAAGCTGTCTCAATTTTCGCTGAGTGACCAAAGATGTTTTTATACGTGGTAGAGCCATGCTGCAGTTATATTAGTAGTATAGTTATAGCACGAATGGGTTGGCTCAACCGGGGAAGGACCACGCTCTCACAGAATACCAGCGTCAAATAGCAGCTTAATACTGCTGTGTTTCGTATGGTGAGTGTAGAGAACCGGAGACCCTTTTTACTGGAAACGAGGCATTCCATCTTAGTCCTCAAGGGTGACAACACATCTGCATTTTGATTTGTAATCGAGGATAGATGTAGATGTCTATAGGTCACAGCAACCACTTACCACTAGGAGAACTGTGTGCAGTTTGTCACCCTATCCTTTAAAAAATGTGTGTAGCTTAGCGTTAACATAACGAAAGACCACTCTGTTGATCAATTTCAGCTGTTTTTTCTCAATTTTTTGCTTGATTCTCATTAGTTGTTAGCAGTAGAGATCCGAATCAGTTATTTTGCTCGGCGGTAAATTCTAATAAACAATAAACGACGCCCTTCCAATCCCACCATACACACAGTATCACCTTATTGCGTGTTAATCCGGGTTTCGCTATAGTCTGTGGAACTTCACTACCCTTTCACCATCACCTTTTTCGCACGTTCTTGTCGTATTTGATCTACTTTTCACCACCATCAAAATCTTTTCATTGTAAAATTAATATTAAATATTCACGAGAAACACCAGTATAAAATCTATAAATTACCAATTTTGTCCTACTCTTACTGACACCATAAACGGCACAATCTTTTTTCACGGCTCGAATCACATTTTGTCCTTTCTTGTTATAAAACCTATTTATTTATTTATTTTAAAAACTTTATTGCGTCCCCTTAGAAAAAAAAAGAATACAAAGGGTGGACTTAATCCCTAAAAGCATTCTCTTTTAGAATGTATGTATCAAATTTTTTCGTTACATTCACTCATTTTGGTGGGAAGAAAAACAATTGTAAAATGCTGGGAAAGTGTCTTATTAACTTTTTATTTTTATTTTTCTTAATGTTTATATGTATTGATATTAAAACCAGTCAGATACAAACAGTGCAACCAAAGAGATTTTTATTCAATTTTATACAAACTTTTTCTCTGATTTTATTATATTAAAATACAATGTTTCATCATTATCATGATTATAACTGTATTAAGAGGTATAGGATTATCATTACCGTTCCGTTGCGTAGCAATGTGGAACGTCGACGGAATGTAACATTTATCCTTGCATAAAATTTAAAGTAGTTAAAATTCAACTCACTGGAGCCTAGAATAGTTTTCCACGTAGATTGCTTAATGAGTTATCCCGGAGTAATTAAGTTATGCATTTAGATGCAAAGAGGTTTAAAAGCCTTGTCTCTGTACGTTATAACTCTCTGAACTCACTAATCTACTTACTAGAAAGCATATAATCATTACGTTTTACTACATACTCATAGTTTGTGATGTCAGTTCCCTTTAATTTTTGAACAGATTAAAAATTTTGAACAGTTTTAAAGTATTTGCAATGTTTGTCATTTTTTAAAGGTAAAATAATCTATATACTATTTGGTCATATTAGTTTTCCCATCCACATTGAGATAATGATATATATCTATACTAATATAATAAATCAGAAGAGTTATTGGATTTTGTTTTGTTTAAGCACGATAATCTCTGAAACTACCTGTTCGATTTAAATTTTTATGGTATAAGATAATAAAGTGTAGCCTATACTATTTCCCAAATTCATGGGAAATAGTATAGGCTACACCTTTCAGCTAGCCTTAAATATTGATTTTTGTAAAACCAGTCAAGAAAAACGCTCCTGAAATGTTTATACGCGTGCACTGGCATAATGGTTACTCTATCTAAAAAAATCTGCGAAATCGTATGCATACATAAGCCACAATAATGTGTTTTGTGACAAAAAATATTGTAAATTAAAAAGTGATTTATATGCGTTATTATTGGACATGGTATATTAATCCTAATGATACGGAAGTTTCTTCACCATCAAACCAATTTAATGAAGATAAACTATGCTCTTTATAGCATGTTATTTGGACGCATAGTTTAAGAAATAATGAAAAATTAAAATAATTCAACACTCGGCTCGGCGCGCGGACGTTACATAATCCCAGACGCCCATTGAGTACCGAACCATCGACGTTCATCCAGTGAACGCCTATAATATAAGCGAAGTGTCGTGTCGCGTGACTCACACGGGTGATATACGTGGGTGAAAACATGGAGCACATCAGTAAGCATCTACATAAGAATCGATTGTACTTCTATGGTCTTGATATTTGCGTTGATTTAGTTATTTATCGTGAATGTATAAATATTTTAATGTTTGATCTGTTCTGGTTTATTTTTTACTTCCCGCTAAGAAAATTGAAAATTTTCAAAAATAGAGAAGTTATTGGTACCACCCCGATTGTCGAAAATCAAGTTTTCATCAGATCTCGATCTGTCTGATGGTGTACCATCGTATGTCAGATGTAAATTCTCAGTCGAAATCGCGTGACGCATTACTGCGATTGCTAATCCGTCTGACATGCGTGGTGATCACAGAAAAGTGTCTCTTGGAGTGTGTAAACTGTTATGGGCTGCAGAAAAATAAACTACAATAATGACTAGTGCCAGCGATTTTTTAATACCGATGTGACTTAGGGACCTGTAAGAAATAAGCCTACTCTTTTTTCAAAAGCCGGTAACGCATTTTTTCTAGTGTTGCAGTTGTTCGTGGGCACTCACCATCAAGAGAGCCGTATGCACGTTTGCCGACTCACAACACTACTCATAATTTTTTATATAATCAAAATCCCGGGAATTCCCGAATTTTTTTTATATTTTCTGAAGAGGGTTAAGCCTTTTTAAAGAATTTAAATTGAGTTAATGACGATGACGATGACTATGGCAATGACGATGACGATGATCATGACGATGCGAATGACGATGACGACGACGATGATGTCGATGACGATGACCATGACCATGACGATCACGATGACGATGACGATGACGATGACGATGACGATGACGATGGCGATGACGATTTAGATGACGATGACGATGACGTTGATGATGACGATGACGATGCCGATGACAATGACGATGACTATGACGATGACGATGTAGATGACGATGACGATGACGATGACGATGCGGATAACGATTACGATGATGGTGACCATGACGATGACGATAACGATGATGATAACTATGATATGATGACCATGACAATGACGATTACGATGACGATGTGGATGACGATGATTATGACGGTTACGATTAGAGATGGGCCGAATATGGATCTCCCCGAATACGAATATTCGGCCGAAGGTTCGGTAAAAGTTTTACCAAACCGGATATTCGGCCGAACATTATTCGGCAGGATCACCTCGGTACCTAACCAATTTATGTCGAAACTTGTTACCGTAAAGCGCGCTGGATTAGTGCTGGACCCTGCCCCTATCTCCCCCGCCACACCTGAAATATTGTTGCATCATCCAGTACTGAGCAAATTGCCAGCACATGCTAACGTTTTGACTATTTTTGTGAAAAAAAAAAATTTTTCCTTGTGTTATTCTTAGTGAAAATTGATAATTATATGATAAAAATGAGTGGCTGGATAAAAAGGAGATCTACTATTTGGACTTATTTTAGAGAAACTGACGACCAAAGTAAAGTGAAATGTACTAATGTAATATAATGTTCCTTTGTTTGATTCCAAAAAAAATTATCAAGAATTCTATTTGCTATAATTGCAAATAAATCTACCGTGCCTCAAAAACGTAACGCAATACAAGTAGATTTAATTAGATAAGACATAGCATTAGTCAATTCGTACATTTTAATACAGTAAATACTTTGAGTATCACTCATTCGGCCGAATACGAATATTCAGTAAAGAATATTCGTATTCGGGCGAATATGCCGAATACCGAATATAAAACGCATATTCGGCCCATTTCTAATTACGATGACGATGACGATGGCGATGACCATGGCAATGATCATGACGATGACGATGATGATGGCGCTGATGATATCGATGACAATGACGATAACAATGATGATGATGATCATGACAATGACGATGACACACACACGCACACACACACACACACACACACACACACACACACACACACAGACGAAGAGACACACATAGCCGTCAAACTTATAACACCCGCCCTCTTTTTTTGTCGAGGGTTAAAAATAGAAATTAACCCCAAATTAACGTAAATCTATGTTTCAGATACTTCGCTATTTTAAAACCACTGAACGTAGCCTGGGAGGCGCGAGTTAGGAAGGCATTAGCTACAGCATGGATATGCGCCGGCCTTGCTAGCTTGCCACAGAGTTTTATATTTCATCTAGAAGAACATCCGGATGTCACAGGGTTTGTATTTTCGTTCTTTTTAAAACGTCTTACTTTTGCATAATATGCGAGCATGATTTATCCGTTTATAACAGAGATAATACAGGATTAAGTTGCAGCTCTAAGAGCCACGGGTTCAAGTATTTCGATGGCTTACAAATGATTGTTCCGGGTCTGGATATTGTTCTTGTGCAATTGAGGTTTGTAAGCTGCCTCCACGATACATGAGAATTTCCCAGAGGACGGGTATATTAAAAAAATATTAAAAAATCATATACCTGGCATATTCTATAAAGATAGTACATCCAATAGGGAATATAGATTCAGAAGATCAAGAATCTTTCTTCAATCCATTAAATTCATCAAGATTATTCTGTGTGTGTGACAGATTAGATTTATATAAGTTTTAAATATTTTAAAAATTGCAGTTTTTTTACATACGAGTAAATTATATGCATCAATTTATTTACGTTATTGTGCGTGTATTATGAGAGAAGACAAAGGACAATTTGATAACCAAGTAATATCTAGAATATCAAGATGTCATTATAAGCCCATGGGGTCGCGCTTACGCTGAACGCCACAGACAGACCGTGGGTAGATATAGCTTTCAGTAGTTTGCGTTGGATGCCTCTATTAAAGGCTCTACTGTTCAATTAATGTATCAATTTATATCATTTACACGATTTCGTCTTATTCAGCATCAATTTAATGCTATTTCAGTGATAACCCTATAAGGTAAGTTTCTTTATTTGATTTTTATGGTTCCGTACCCAAAGGGTAACCAACGGGACCCTATCACTAAGCCTGTCTCTCTATCAGCGGGCTGTATCTCATGATCCGTAATAGGTAGACAGTTGAAATTTTCATAGAATGTGTATTTCTGTTGCCACTGTAACAACGCCAACCACTATATCTACTAGATATTCAATGGTATTGTCGTTAAGAATGGGTTTGAATCCGAGCCAATCCTATAATTTGTTTAGTACAAAGACAATTTATTTCTCATCACCCGTATTGTTATTGTTGCTGTCTTACCCAACTGTGACAGGGCGCGAAAGGTGGATAATACTCGTATTTTCAACTGATATGTATGTAATAGGATATCGTCTAATCGTAGAATATAGTACGTGACGATAATATGGTCATCCGGTTAATATGGTCACTTTCTTATAACTCAAAAATAACAGCTTTGTTTGCATAAGTTGATCTGTGGTACGATAGCTCTTTATCAGTCAATCAAATAATAAAGGGGCAAAAGGGCGCTGCTTTATCGACGCCATTTTGATAGTTGACATTATAGTAAATATTTTAGTCCATTTTAGTATTGTGTAGTGTAGTTAGTTTTTTTTAAGTTGATTTTTCGAAGTGTTCCTAATTATTGCCAGAGCTTGTTTGCTATTTTTTCTTAATATATTAGTTATAGTATACGACTTTGTGTTTTTGTCTCTGTCTTCCTGCTATTTTTGGTTTTCTAGGACGGCAAAGCTTAAAGTGACCATATTACCCTCTCGTACTATAGAATACTATAATACACCATAGAATGGCTGTCAACCTTATTTTGTACGAGGGTCAGAGTCGCCGGGAGCACACATATAAGCAATTACGTCGTATTATCACTACTACAAAACCGATTCGCTGTGTTGACACACTGAATAAATTTAAACATTTTAGACTTTTGATTAATATTCAAGATCATCATTTAAAATATCGTTTAAATTTTAATACATATTTATTTTTTAAATTCGGCATTTTCTAAATAATTTGCATGCGAAATTTGGAAACGATTGTAACGTCATAACACATTTCGTGTTGACAGTTATACGTGTGAATTGACATGTTAGTGATATTTTAGTGGCTACACGGGCTTCGCCCACTCCCCAGTTCTACGAGTATTATGTATGATTTATAGTATTCTATATCACGTACCTTACCAATTATCCTACTGTGGGTGTCGTATGAGGCGATAAGGAGTCAAAATAATAAGAATTTTGCTGTTAACAAGCATGGCAACTATGAGAAATCTTCTCCCTATCGAGTAATTTATGAGAGAGGTCTATGAATGTTCAGTAGTGGATTTTGACGAACTATAATGATGACTTGCCGTGGTAGCTCAGATGGTTAGCGCTCGCTGTAAATTTCACAATACGCGAGCAAACCGGGTTCGATCCCCGCCGGCACCAATGAAATTGTTAATTGCAATTTTAAGTGCTTATTTACCACGTGCTCGTCGGTGAAGGAAAACATCGTGAGGAAACCTGCATGTCTGAGAAATAAGAAAAAAAAATATTTCGAAGACATGTGAAGTTCGCCAACACGCATTGGGGCAGCGCGGCGGACTATTCCTTGCCATAAAACCCTCTCAGAAATGAGAGGAGGCCTGTGCCCAGCAGTGGGACGTATATAGGCTTTACCTTTACCTTTACTTTATAATGATGACGATGGTTATCCATGGCTACTATTAAAATAACATTTTATATTAACGCATGTTGAGGAAGTGAATACCACTTGTTGCACATATGAAACACGTGCACAAGTTTTCTATTTGTAACATGAATATATATAAATGGCACGAGGACATTTCGCAAAACTTCTATCAAAATTTATAATTCGTTTTCGCGCCAAATGTTAGTCCATATTCCTTTATGTAAGTCACATGTACATAATGCGCTGTGTGATGCTTAAAATACACGTTGCAAGTGATGACAGTGTCGCAATGACCTATGAGTACATGCAGTGTTATTGGTTCTGATTTTAAAACTATTTTTCCGGATAATATCACGTTTAATTTTAATTTTTTTAATCCTCGACGTTACGGGCACAGACCCTCTCGAGTTTTCTTGTTGATGGTTATTTTCGCTATTATTCCATCGCTGGAGCCTTATTCTTCAACGTTTCTTCAACATTAAGGCTAGTATTACGAAAATAGATAAATATTCCCGAAGCTTTACTTTAGAAAAAACAAGTTTCAGTGTATCCCTACAAAATTTGCTTCCTCCTTTAAAAACAAAGTGAAGTACGACTACAGTACCTACACACTGAGTGTACAGCCTATAAACGTTCCCCTGCTGGGTACATCTTCCTCTCACTTTTAAGAGCACTTTAAGGGCTAGGAAATGTCCGCCGCGTTGCCCCAATGCGTGGTGGCGAAGTTTACACGTCTTTGAAAAAGTATTTTTTATTTCTATGACATGCAGGTTTTCTTCAAGACGTTATTTTTACAGAATCCAGTATAAAGACTAACCTTAATCTTTTTTAACATTTCAGATACTTTCAATGCGTTTCATATGGATCCTTACCAACGGAACGTCATGAGTTTGCCTACTTCCTGGTGAACATGACACTGATGTACGTGGCGCCGTTGGTGTCCACGCTGTACTGCTCATCTGCTGCTTTGGCTGAGATCATTCGAAGATCAAACACTTCAAATGGTAATAAATTAGATTTTCTCCCATAACCAAGAATATGCTCTCTAAATTTAAAAAAGCTATGTAATTATTTAAAACCGGAAATAACTTTTAAGGTGAAGTGAGGGCCAAAAGCAGATTTTTCACGCTTTATATGGACTGTTTAGTCGGCCCGCACGCTATTTAGTCGCACAATATTTATTTGATATTTCTTTTTAAAATTATATATACTCTTTTATTGAACAATAAACCTTCTTCAACATTATTACATATTCAATCACGTATTTACTGGTGAACACATAGCCTGAATTTAATTGAAATTGATTTCATTTCATTCGAATGAAACAGCTTTTTCATTTAGTGGACGTAGATAAAATTGTAGATTTTGAGGAAAGAGGAGCATTTATATATATATAAATGCTTTTCTGCGCACCTACAAAGCGTGAAAAATCTGCTTTTGGCGTTATTAAAGGGTCAAAAGGGAACTAATTTATCGACGCCATTTGGACACTTGATATTACGGTAAATATTTTGGTTGATTTTAGTATGAAGTAGTATAGTTAGTTTTTTAAATTGATTTTTCAAAGTGTTTTAATTATTGCTAAAGCTTGTTTGCTATTTTTTAATATATAAGTTATAGTATACAACTTAATGTTTTGTCTCTGTCCCCCCTCCCCACTAGTTTTGGTTTTATAGGGCGGCAAAGCTTAAGGTGACCATATTACCCTTACATACCTTGCACTATTTTTGCAAAAATTTTGATGTGTTACATGTTTATTTATTTACACATTATCTATAACAGTATCACGGGATTACGGGTGTAATTAGACTTTATTAGTAGAACCGTCTTGGTTGAATGATGAAGGTTCAAAAGGTTTAAAAAAAAATAACTTACTATTTTACCCGCTAAGTATCAGATGTTCAAGGAAAAACTAAACAGTCGTGTAACCAGTCACATTAATTCGTCTAGAAAATTTCGTCGAAGAAAATTTCATCCTTAAGGGAGGAAAGTTCTTCTTCTAATTTATATCGAATTAGGGGGAATTAGGGGTGACCTAATTGAGCCTATTTAAGGAAAAAATTTATAATAAAGATTTTAAAATGTATTAATTAGGATCACCGTTATGACGCAGATCTTAGCTTATTAATTTTAACACCTTTAATATAATGGATTTCGCAAAGTAACGCTTAATTCTATTAAAAATGTTAAAAAGAATCAATCACTCAAGCGTTCCGGGAAATCAATTTACGTAGTAGAGCCATGCTGCTGCTATATAATATCTGCAGTACGAATGGGTCGGCTCGACTGGGGTAGGACCAGGCTATCGCAAAGTACCAATGTCAAATAGCAGCTTAAGTGTTTGGTATGGTGAGTGTAAAGAGCCGGAGACCACCATTTAACTGGAAATTATTTTAGTTGTCACGGTTGACAACGCATCTGCATTTTGATTTGTTATCGAGGATAGATGTGGATGTCCATGGGCTACAGCAATCACTTACCATCAGGTGGACTGTGTGCTCGCTTGTTACCCTTATCTTGTTAAAAAAATCGTTTTAGAAATCAGAGCCGTGGTAACTCAGGGCTCGCAATTTATTTACTTCTATGCAAAAAAACCCGAGTTCAATCCCCGCCGACAGCAATGATTGTTATTTTAAAGTGCCGTTTATAATAATAATAATAATAGACGCTGTTATTCTGCCAGCGCCCAACAAATGAAGAGTACAGTACGCGCGCATCCCTGCTTATATTACATTTATTTTTGGTTTTGTCCCGGCCCGCCCCCCTCTTTCAAATAATTTTTTTTTTGTGTTGTTTGGTTGTCGCCGACTACAAAACATTTATTTTCTTTGGTGAATGGTTTTCTTCATATAATTTCACCGGTGTTTACACTAACAACCTGTATATAAATTACGTGTCACGTTGTTTGTCCGCGATGGACTCCTAAACTACTTAACCGATTTTAATCAAATTTGCACACCGTGTGCAGTTTGGTCCAACTTGAGAGATAGGATAGTTTCTTTGCTCACATTTTGTTTTGCGAATTTAAGGATTTTGAATAGGACATGACAAAGGGTTGTCAAATAGGGCAGAACAACGGTCTGCCTGACAAGCCAGTATATTATAATTCTTAAATATTTTCCTTCGCCGCCGAGCAACTAATAAATCTACATTTAAAATGTCCGTATAGAATTATCAAATAGTTCTTCTTTTATTTTAGGGTGTTTACTTAGGGTGACAAACGAGCACACAGTCCACCTGATGGTAAGTGGTCGCTGCGGCCCATAGACATCTACATCTATCCTCGATTACAAATCAAAATGCAGATGCGTTGTGGATTAAGATGGAATGGCTCATTTCCAGTAAAAAGGGTCTCTGGTTCTCTACACTCGCCATAAGAAATACAGCAGGATTAAACTACTATTTCACGCTGGTGTTCTGTGAGAGCGTGGTCCTTCCCCGGTCGAGCCGACCCATTCGTGCTACAACTACTACTAATGTAAATGCGGCATGGCTCTACCACGTATGAAGTCATTATTACGTTGACCACTTGTTCCTGTGAAGAACCACCAAGAAACGCAACGGGACTGTTTTAATTAACAATAAGGGGAGAACAGACTTCATTTCCAAAATGCTGCCGCCGAAAATTTTCGGATTCATTTGTTGATAGAACTAAAATAATATTTTAATAAAAATAATTTAGAGTAATATAAGAATAACATAAAATATGTTATATCAATATCTTTATAATATATCATCCATATTATACAGACAAAATGCGTCGCAGCGGTGTCGGTATACTCGGACGAGCACGAGCGAGAACTCTGAAAATGACTGTCACTATAGTCCTAGTATTTTTCGCGTGCTGGTCGCCTTACTATTGTTACTGCCTTTGGTAAGTTAAATGTTTAATGTGTACAACACTTTCTAATTTAAAGAAGATCCTGTATGGTTAATGCATAAAGATTGGCAAAATAGCAGGAGCTGTGGATTTCCCTTTACAACCGAGTGATCAGCTGGCTAAACTATTTAGGTTAAGAAAATTTGGTTAAATAAAGTTTACCATAAAATAGACCAATATATTGAGTAATGAGACTGCCACTCGAGAACCTTTCTTCCCCATCGGTTGTCGGTTATTCGAGCTATATGGCCGGCACATTGCCACTTCAGCTTAACAATCCGTTGAAATATAACGGTTACTCTGGTTCTACTTCGGCTATCCCCATTTCTAAGTTTATCACTCCGAGCATAGTCCTCTCCATAGCTCGCTGAGTGACCATGAGCTTCCTTATACTGCCAGCAGTGAAGGATCACATCTCAGATACATGAGTGATCACACAAGTTTTGAGGTATACCTGACGAGAACATGTGTCGTAATCTCCCAAACGCTGCCGAGTTGAATCTATCGATTGAACTATCGGTCAAAGTTGAACTTACCTAGTCGGACTATTTATCCCAGGTAAACATACTCGTCAACAACTTCGAGCTTAGTCCTCTCAACAACTATCAGCATAGGTGTGACATAGATGTTACACATGATCTTTGTTTCATCCATGTTCATATTAAGACATTTTTTAAACTTTTTGGAAATTTGACGTGCCATCACCTGAGGTCATTGAGCATAGTGCTTAGGTGCTCCAGCGATTCTGCCATAAGGACGATATCATCGGCAAATCGAAAGTGAGTCATGTACTCACCATTCATGTTAATACCTTATCCTTTCCAGTCCTGTAGCTCGAAAACATCTTCCAATGCAGCAGTGAATAGTTTCGAATTGCCGAAGAGTATGTATGGTGCTAAAACCTTAACAGAAACTGGTTTGTTCGATTGGTAATTCCTCTAGAAAACAGCACGTAGATGCGGCTCAGAAGGAAAATCGGTCTGTAGTCCTTCAAGAGAGCATTGTCACCTTTCTCGAAGAACAAAACAACCGCACTTCTGCTCCACGGCTCCGAAGTAGTACCACCATAGAGGACGGAATTAAAGAGCCTCTGAAGGACTAAAAGTACTGCTTTTACATTCGCTTTCAGAAGCTCCGCTATAATTCTATTCTCGTCTGAGGCCTCGCCGTTTTTAAGATGCTGGAGAGCCATTTAAATCTCTGGTAGGTGAAGTGTGGCGCGCCTCCCCACCAGATGGAGTGCCAACCATAAGACATGCAGGAATTCGATGGATGCAGGTGGCTTAGGACCGTGATTTATGGCATTCCTTGGGGTAGGCCTGTATTCAGCAATGGACTTGTGAAGGGCTGTAATGATGATGATGATGGTTGAGGAATGTTGTGTCGAAATAATTCTTACCTTGTAAGCCATACAAGCACGTGTTTCGCTAGTGATTTAAACTAAGTAAGTAATATTGCAAAATATTATTCGCGAAAACCTCGGGTGTGCTTAACGGTAGGCAAGCCGCCATTGTGTATATTCTCTTGCAGCTTAGCAAGTAGAACTAAAAATATTTTTGTTAACGTGCGAGATTGAGGTGTACAATTTGGGATTTTTCTAATTTTTAATCTTATTTTCACTTCAGGTATTGGATAGATAAGGAATCCGTAAGAAGCTTGGATCCAGCGTTCCAAAAAGCCATGTGGCTATTTTCATGCACAAACTCCTGTGCCAACCCTATCGTGTATGGCGTATTTAACAGAAACCGCTGGCATTCAGGACCGGTACGTGATATACATTCCTCTGATAAATTTCTGAGTCTTTAATACGTTGTACAACCAAACCGCAATCGTTACGCCATAACACTTATAAAAAAATATTTATAAAATACTTTGAAAGAAATTACAAAAAAGTATCGAGAAATAACAAAAATACAGCCTCCTAACTTTTTTTTATTAGAAAAGTGGGCAAACGTGCATACGGCTTACCTGATCGTAAGTTTCTACAGCCACCCATGAACAACCGCCACACCAGGGGAATTGCAGGTGTGTTGCCAAAGGAGTTTTTAAAAACGTTTAATAAATGTTATTTGTTTATTTTTATTTGCTTAATTTTTTAACAAATACATAAGATTAGCTTGTACAGAGGGTAGGAGAGACTACAGACTTCCATTTAGACGATCCTGACATACCTTTGCCTCTTCACATCATAACCTACGCTAATGCGTGGTTAAGGGTATCTTAATTTATTTTTAGTATAGATTGGATAGAGCTGACTTTCCATCACTTGCACATATATTTGCTTTGTAGTTTTTTTCTTTTACTTTTTTTAACTATTATGTAATAATTTAGAACTTTAACTATATATTGTTCGCATGGACTTCATAATTCCTATAGAGCCGAAATATTTAAAAAAACTTGTATGATATTTATGAGGGCTAATAATCTAACGATCAGCAGATGTCACTACTGTGACAATGAGTTGAACTTATTAGTCACGCAGATGGGTTTTTTTATAAATTTTTTTTTGTTAATTGTGTTTGTAAAATATACACGAAACAATACTCAGCGGTGTGTTCGTTCTCAAACGATCAACATATCATACGAGGGCGAGTAGCCCGTTAAAATTTTATTTTTTACAGAAAAAGGAGTAAATAGCAATTATGTTTTTTTTATAGGATATGGTGAGAAACAAGCATATAGTCCACCTGATGGTAAATGGTTGCTGTGACCCATAGACATCCAAATTTATCCCCAATTTCGAATCAAAATGCAGATGCGTTGTCACCCGTGAGGACTAAGATAGAATGCCTCGTTTCCAGTAAAAACGGTCTCCAGTTCTCTACTCTCACCGTACGAAACACAGCAGCATTAAGCTACTATTTTACGCTGGTATTCTCTGAGAGCGTGGTCCTTCCCCAGCCGAGCCGACCCATTCGTGCTACAACTAAACTACCAATATAACTGGAGCATGGCTCTACCACGTATAAAAAATACTTGTATTTGAAAGGTAACGCCATATTTTTGTAAATTTGACGTGGCAGATCTCTTTTATACTAACACTTTGACAGAGGGGAACGCCTGCGTATGGCTACTCCCCTGGGATCCGCCGGTGGCCCGTGTTACACTATGATTTGTTATCTAGTCAAACCAGAATATAAATATTTCAGAAATAAACATTTTTCCTTTTCCCCATGAAATCTATCAATTTAAGATAGGCGTTACTTTGGAAATCCTTATAGTAAAGATTTGCATCCCCCTGTATATACAAGATGTGTCTTTGATTGAAGAACCTCTCTTCAGGTTTTGAGAAGGTGATGTGAGGCGACCTCGTGTAGAGGCGAAAGCCGTAAAGTCGTATTATCGTCGATGGTGTGTCTTTCTTGGAATAGTGGTGTTGGAAGTAGTAGTGCCGGGAGTAGTGGTGTTGGGAGTAGTGGTGCTGGGACTAGTAGTGACGGAATTAGTGCATGCAATTGAGGGAGGGCGGGAGGTGCTCTTCAATCCAGATAAGACACATCTTTGTATTTAGTTAGCAGGGGGTTGCAAATTAATCAATATCTTTATTAATCTATCAAATATTTAACCTCATTCCAGTATGGCGCCGATCTAATGGCAAAAAAAATTGTGGATGTGGCCTTCATTGGATAGAACTGATTAACGTAAATATACTTTTTTTAGAATGCAAGGTATCGAACTGGCAGCATGAGAAGAGGATCACGATTTCCATATGGCGACTCTATGGAAATATCAGCGGCGACTCTAGTTCGTGCACGAAGCTCCTTCCAAAATGAAAGAAGAGATTCAACTTTCAATTCCAAAAATGGAACTCAAACGCAACTCAATCATAACAACAACCTCGTTGGTAACGGCATCGTTTAAATAGGTTTAAACCGACGCCGACGCTAGTGACGGGACATAGCTTTTCTATACGCATGCTAGAAATGCTAAAGTAACGGAATAAAGCTAAATAAATGCGAAATAAAATTCTACTTACACCTTGTAAATTGTTTATCTTAAAGCTAGATGTATTAGAAATTTAGTTTATGTTTGTAATGTAAAAGAAAGCTTTAAAATTAAGTCTAGACATATCTAGAGTTTAGATTATTTGACTATGTAGTAAGTTTATCCGACTGAGTTTCGAGTCGCGGCACGTAACTCTAGCGCTGAACAAAATGGGGGGATAACTACGCAAGTTGTATCAGTACGCCAAGCCGTAGTCGTACGCAAGTAGCAGTAGCCAAACAGCGACATGCACACCCACCCCGCGACCCATTTACTACCCTATTATACCTTATTTTTGACTTATGCTGAATAACGGTCACCGCTAGACTTTCGTTCCGCCGCTTATACCTAACGGTAAAACAAATTAAAATGTATATGGACTACATTTAATTTTTCTTTAGGTTATTTAATAATTTTAAGTTTTTTTTTTCTTAAATTATAAAACAAAATTCGTTTATATTTAATAATTATAAAATTTCAATGTAATTACTGTTGGATTATCCTATAAAGGAGTTTTATTGTGAATGAAACTTGTAAAGAAGTGAGCCAAGAGTTCGTTTTTAGTGCATTTTTTTCTAGTATGTTTTTACATTCCATTGCTGTAGTAGTGTAAATAACTAGATAATAATTACATAACTACTAAATTCTTTCATTTTCAAAACCTACATTCCAAAGTTTTAACTTCTTAGTTATAATGTTATTGATAATTGAGTTAAGTAGTAATAAGCAAAAATTCTGGTGCAATTCTATGTATGTAAAGCATTAATCTTTTGTACAATATTTAAACGTGAACAAGCCTTTCTAAATAAATTTGTAGATTTTCATATAAAAATAACAAGAGCACGCGGCCGTTAACTTGAAAACATTATATTACATTCGGTATAACACGATATACGGAATTTCCGATTTTACATAAGTATTCCTTCGCATTTCCAGATATAATCACACTAAAATTTCTGATCACTAGTAATAAGACTCATTGATCGGAACATATATCTGTAAACTTTAATCACGATAAAAATGTAATTTTGACACCATATTTATTTGTTTATTTTAATCCTTTTAGGTATGATGATTTTAATAATCATCTTATCATTGACAATGAAATCTTGGCTGTGAAGTGATTCTGATATGTGTTTTGTATATATACGGGCACGTTTTGTACCAAATATTATATTATATATAACTTCATAAAAATCTAATAAAAATTACTTAAATAAATATCTATTTCATAAAAAACTTGTATGATTTACGTTTTAAAAAAAAACTCAATTACAATATAATACTTATTTATTAAAATAATTAACATTTAATTATGGCCATAGATAAGTAAAAGTGACACTTTGAAACCTAAAAGGTTTACGATCAATAAATTTAATGGTTTGTACTCATAAGAACAAGTGGAAACGTTCTCCAAATATAGTGATAACAACATAATATTAATATATTATAAATTGTAAAAATAATAAATTGTATCATATTTAAAAGCAAATTACAAAAACTCTGAAAAATAAATATATTATTTTAATATATCAATATATGCCAACTCATAACACAACATTTAGCTTTAGAAAAGAAAACGAGACGAAAGAAACGAAGATCCGGGTATATTCTTCTAAAATGAATCCTTTTTTTTTCACAAAACTAGACAGTTAACACTTTTATTACCACTACTATCAACATCAAACTAATCTACTTAAAATATAATATCGATAGTGGCTGTGAATAAAAAAATGTTAATTAAAACCGAATAGATGAAAATAACTATTATGGTCTATTTATTATAGAAGTTGAGTGACATTTGAGATTTGTTGGATAGCATTATACTAATCTAGTTTTACATTATATAAATAAATTTAATTTATTAATAATTAAATATCAATTATAAAATAAATGTCTATAACTTTATTTCATTTTATAATAAAAGCGATGGCATTTATACTAAAAAATGTACCTATATAGATGTACTGAAATAAAAATATGCAAAACAGATAAAATCAAAAATGTACGCAGTTAAATTTCAGATAATTACTAACATTTTCAAATAATCAAATTGGAACACTCTGTGTTCAATCGATTTCAAATGATTTGAATTGGAATGCAAACAGACGTATTGATTGGAGATTATACAATTTACGTAAACTAATTATACAGATAAGCTTACTTACAATATGGCACATTTACTATAGATATACATACAATACAAATCTACGTGTAGATAGATTCATACAAAAATAGAAGGGGGCTTTTCAGCTATCAAAATTTTCTACAACGTTCTAAATTCGCTTTATACTGATTTTTAATATATATTATATATATATATATATATATATATATATATATATATATATATATATATATATATATATATATATATATATATATACATATATAGAATACATATAGACAAAATTTATATATGCAAACATTTTAAAATGATTATATTAAAATATTATATTCCAACCAATATCTCGGATTGTATAACATACATTCAATTCGAAACACGGAACTATAATATAACTTTTTCTACATTAATTTAAGGTAATTAAATTCGCACCTTCCTAATAATGTTTCATTTCTTATCAAATGCATTGCATTATGTGGCGTTTCGTTTGGCTTAAAATCAGTTCCACGATATCTCAAAATATTTCCATTACATGAAAATTACAAATAAAAAGTGAGTTTTGAGAAATCATGAAATAGCTTTTAAGTACTTTTAAACCATTTTTGTAATTAACGTATAATAGGTGTAATGCAGTGATGTATAATTGCGCATTCGCACCACATTTTAACCTTGCACTAACCACCTACCATCAATCAAACATGAATAATTAAATAGCCTACATACATTAAAACTGTCTTTACATGATATTTATACTAAAATAAGATTTAAATATCGGTAACCAAAAAATTTTATAAAACTAATAAAGTTTTTTTTAAATAATACTAAACTGCATTTGATGTATTAATAAAATACCAATTTACTAAAGTTTATCCATAAACACAAAGTAATTTAATCGATCAATCCATTAAACCAAGTCTTAAATCACCTCATAATGTAAATATGGTTGACAGTGTGATATGATTTGTGATTTTAGCCATGAATTTTAAAATAAAAATCACTGTCCTGTGAAAAATATCGTTCCCGCTTAGAGCGTCATATGAACACAGTGCAGTCCACATCCGGTTGGTTGAATACTCAAAGACATCCGGTATTCTGTTGGACTACGTAACACACATTCAATGTTCGCCCTTTTCAAGTTCAGTGAGTTCATGCGCGGGAGCTAGTTCTTTATCATTTTCATGAGCAACGCGTGCTTTCTCAATATCGCCTTGCGATAATGAGGTTACTATAATGGCTCCCAATGCATCGCAGACGACATTGATCGTCGTGCGGAATCGATCTCTGAAAAGATTATTGGTAAAATTATAATATCAGAAACAATAAATAAATAAATATTTTATGCACAAAATCAATAATAATCTAGACCTAGATAGAATGTAGAAGATATGTGAAAAGATATGTATTGCGTATAAAACAATATATCGTGAGTTGTATATTTACGAGTTTTTTTTTATTTTTTTTTCTATATTTTTTTCTATATTTTCTATATTTATTTTTTATTTTTTTCTTATATTTAGTTCTATTTATAGTAAATCCGATTCAAAAAAAGTAAGTACTTAATTAATTCTTTTGTCATCAAAAGTAGTTGTAGAAGTATTGACTTTCTACATGAGTGTTTTTTATTTTTGTTTGTAATGACATACGAATATCGAACTCACCAATCCTATACTAAGTGAGGTGAGTTATACTTTGGGTGTGTTCCGATATACACTGCGAGCACTGCTCAGTGCTCCATCACAGGTGAAAAATTCGTTCCGTTATTGACTGCCAGTGTACTGACGCAGTACCCTAGGAAAATATATGACGTTATAAATCGCGGCCATTTTTGTACTGTGAGCACTAGCGCTTTCGAAGTAAAGTGCTCTCAGTACTTTGATCACGTGATCAAATAACATAACAGCACCTAGAGATTTAATAGCTTCCACGAATGATTGTTATTAATATTAATTAATATTGTTATTCAAATATAATCGGACATTAAGTTTTAAAAGCAAACATTCAAATAATTTTTTTTTGTTGAATAGTAAACGTGTACATGATAAATATTATCATTTGAAAACAGTGTCGTAAAATGGGATGGCATTATATTGGACTGAGTTTCGTTTCAAACAGTAACCAGTATAGCTAACTAAAAAGTAACGGCTTCACAGTATACTGAATTGACGTCACACCTTACAGTGATCACAGTGTATATAGGAAACGGCCTTTAGTGTCTGTCACAATCTACATTCTAGTCTTCCTAAATTATGTGATAAGTGCGTAAGAGAACTTGACTCAAAGATCATGAATTGTCGACGAAAAGTCATCAAGTTAAGACACTGCAAATCTCTTAACATTTTGAGTGTGTAAGATTTACGATGACTAGTACCAAAGGAGCCGATTGTCTGCCCGATGGTAAATGGTTTCAGTAGCTCATGGACGTTTACAAGAGCTTTAAAAAAAGAACTAAAGAAGGCTACAGATGCGTTATCACCTCCAAGAGCTAATATCTCTCCTTGCTCTTCGATTTGTACCTTTCAAACTGAAATGAAGCAATGGATGCACAGTTACTCGTACTTGGTTGCAGACACAGATAAGAGTATGTTACGAACCCCAACAGTTTCCTAGGCAGAAAGGTCGATCTAGAATCAAGTCCAGATTATTTAAAGCTCTAGTCTCATGTTCAGCAGTGGACTTGTGAAAGGCTGCAATGATGATGATGATGTAATACATTCATTCGCACATTGTAGCTTATCAAAAGTCGACTGCTGAACATAGGCCTCCCCATAGGCTGTCTCACAGGGACGATATTTGCTATACTTGCAACACGACAGACGGTATCAACCACAGTTTTACCTAATTTTTAAGTTTATATCATAAAGATTCTGCTGCCCATCTGTTTCATTTCAAGCTGTCACCTCTTATGACACCCATGAGATAATGGTCCTAAATTGACCACTATCGACTATTGCCATACTACAACGTTAACAATTAGATAAGTAAAGTTGCTTTGGAATCAACATCAAAAGATGAATAATTTTTATATAAATTTTATCACCTAATTATTATAAAAAACAAGCAATCGTATGGTATATATTACTTTAAATAACATTTTAGTAAGAAACTCACAGCAGCCAGTCAACCGCAAGGATGATGGAGACGTCCTCAGCGGGCAGGTTGACGGTGTCGAGCACCATAACCATGGTAACCAAGCCTGCTTGTGGAATGCCAGCCGCGCCTATGCTAGCCGCCGTCGCTGTCACACTTTAATGCAATAATTTAATGATGAAGTTCAACATTTTAGCCTTAAAAAATAATCGCAATACCGCAATCCTTTAAAAAGTAAAAAATATAAAGTCAAACCTCAACAAGCGAATATTTTTAGCGCAATAAAATTACATTTATTGGATGCCTTAAGCGCAAAGCGCGTAGGTACGTGCTACTAGCGTCTAAAAATCAAGAATCCAACGTTTCGCCGCATGAAGTCGTATCTAACAATTATATTGAAACATATAAATTTTATAAAAAGCACATTTTCAGGAAGATAAATGGTTCTAAAACTATTTTTTATAAATCGATTAATTGCTATTTTTACATTAAAAAAGTAGTTTTAGTGGCTTATGGTGTAGATTTATCACGTCCGCATGGAGGGATAAACACGATAACTTTTGAAAATATGAATTGTTCAACTCGATCTATTTTTTAATCCATTCATCTATAATATCATCAGTGGCGAAGCCTCCATAGAAGCCAAAAAGCCGGGCTTGCCTTATCAAATTGAATCAATCAATAATATCAACTAATAAAATAACTCGTAAACTGTTGCAAACTATTTAAAATTTCCCGCGCACGCCACTGTTCGACACATGTCGACCGATTACCTCGTTTGCCTAAGCGATACTTTTTTTTTATAGAAGAGGGGGCAAACGAGCATGCGGCTCACCTGATGTTAAGTGACTACCGCCGCCCATGATCAACCGTAACACCAGGGGAATTGCAGGTGCGTTGCCGGCCCTTTAGAAAGAAGTACGCTCTTTTCTTGAAGGTCCCCAGGTCGTATCGGTCCGGAAAAATCGCCGGTGGTAAACTATTCCACAGAGAGGTTGTACGCGGAAGAAAACTCCTTTTGAAACGTACTGTGGTGGACCACCAAGCATCCAGGTGGTGTGGATGGTATCGGGACGTTTGCCGCGTAGTGCGTTCACGAAATTTGGCGGCTGGGATTAATCCGAACAATTCCTCAGAGCACTCTCCATGGTATATCCGAAATAAAATGCAAAGAGATGCAACATCTCTTCGCAGTGCTAGTGAATCGAGCCGATCGGAAAGCACTCGGTCGTCGACGATTCGAGCCTCTCTGCGCTGAATGCGGCAAGTGGAAGGAGCTGGTACTGGAGAGCCCCAGCCTAGAGATGGGAACAGTATTCCAAGTGCGGCCAAACCTGCGCCTTGTAAATTCACAGGCGGTGTGCCGGCATGAAATACTGTCCCGCTCTGCTGAGCACGCCAAGCTTTTTAGAGGCCAATTTGGCCTTCTCTTCCAAGTGAACACGAAACTGCACGTCACTCGATATGTCAACGCCGAGGATTCCGATACTGGCTGAGGCAACAAGGGGAGTGCCTTGAAACTGAGGAGATACGACAAAGGGGTTCTTTTTAGCGGTTAACGCGCAATCTTGTGTCTTCTGGGGGTTAAACTGGACTAGATTTAGTCGCCCCCAATCCGAGACTCTATTCAGCAAAGACTCGACTTCAGACACAAGTTTGTCCCGGCACTCGGAGACGTTTTCCCGAGAAATATTGGCTCGGCCGGTGTAAAGAGCATCACCAGTGCTGTCATCTGCATAGCAATGAATGTTACGGATTTGCAACATATCATTGATATGCAGAAGAAACAGCGTTGGCGATAGCACACAGCCTTGTGGAACACCAGAATTAATAGGCTTGCAATCGGAGCTTGCACCGTCTACAACGACCTTGATACTCCGATCTGCAAGAAAGCTGGTGATCCAATCGCACAATTTCTCGGGAAGCCCATAGGAAGGGAGCTTCGAAAGAAGCGTTTTGTGCCAAACCCGATCGAAGGCCTTCGCAATGTCCAAACTAACGGCCAATGCCTCCCCCTTGGACTCTACTGCCTCCGCCCATCTGTGAGTTAGGTAGACCAGAAGATCACCAGCTGACCGACCACGGCGAAAACCGTATTGGCTGTCACTAATCAGCTGGTGATCCTCAAGGTACCTCATGAGCTGGCAGTTTACAATAGACTCCATTGTTTTGGAGAACAAGGAGGTGATGGCGATAGGCCGGTAGTTGGATGGGTCTGAGCGGTCGCCTTTTTTTAGGGATCGGGTGGACGAAAGCCGTCTTCCATGATTTTGGGACTACGCCTAGGGAGTAGGAGTACCGGAAAAGACGCGTTAAAACCGTTAAAACTGCTGCTGTCATAAAAAATGAGTTTTAATAGAGCGATTAGTTATCTCCCTCGCTCACGTGGGCTTTTACAGGGCTTTCGAGAAGACGATCGCTCTCTTTCTAACCTATGGCAAAATATTCTATAGTGAAATATAACTACGATTGTATATATAGCAATTAGTATAGAGATTTAAAGCCAGGCTTTAGGAATGAATTTGTCAAAAGCGTAGGTGCGCGGGCAATACGTTTGCAAGTTCATTTCACATTTCAATGTTTATATACTCTGTGTGTTTAGCTTAAGCGATTTAATATTGCGAGTTCAAAATTTATGCTTTTTTAAAGATTACTAACACTATTATGAGGAGGATAATAGTGTTCCTTGTGATGAATAGAAGTGTGTTAAAGTGCTAATCGGAGAAGGAAAAGGTAAAATCTTTAAACTTTGTTGAAATAATACACAAGGTCAAGAGTGTATTTCAGACTTATCAATTATCGCAATTAAAAAGCAGTTATTGGTACAATTAAAACGTTCACCAACATTTTACGTGGACGTAATTAAATCTTTCCTTAACAAAGCGAGACGATTCCACTTATCTTATCTTATCTCTTATTCATTAGACTGTAAATAATTTGTTTTTTAATTTTGTATATAGTTTGTTTGTACTTTGTTCATGTTTTACTTTTGTTCATGTATTGTATTGGATGTAAATATTTTTTTCTTTCGCTTAACAAACCCAAACGGCTTTCTTCAAAGCCACCGAAGCTATGCAATTGCCGATATGTATCTAGCCTTTTGTGTGCTTTATGAAACACGTCCTTGATAGCACTGAATATGAAACTGAAGCGTGGAGACAGATCAAGATTGGTGTATTTTTATAAAACTGATAAAAACAACAATCTATATTTTTATCAATTTATATATTGGGCTGCCCTAGTTTGGAGCTCTAGCTTCGCCACTGAATATCATGTGGAAAGCCATGGAATGTAAATGGCTGCTTAATTTTATTTCATTCAGTTATAATTAATTTTATTCGGCTGAAAAAATCCGAAATTTTTGGTGTTTGCGTAGCATTCAATAATATATTTTACTAAATGCAGATACACTTTGACTCACTGCGGGCTCGGCCGCCGCCGTGAGTGGGTTAGTGTATCCTTTTTTTACAGCGGCCCGTGATGAAAACTTATTTGTACTCAGGCATTATCGTAAAAACTAAAGTTGATATCTGATTGGTTTATGAAAATTTTGTCAAATTTTTTTCAATTAACAATAATAAAAAAGTTTTTGAATCTCAATAATAATAACATAGTAAAATAAAAATTAAAATTTCTATTTTGATTGTGAATTGAATTTTCATTTTTCACGATCATATAAGCGTTATGAGTCGTGTACTTTTGGATTTTCGAAACTTTTATTTATTGACGTTTGTCATAACATTGTTTTCGGAAAATTAGAAGGGATAAAGTTATTTGTGAAATGATGAGTGTATTTAAAAAAAATAAAAAATTGACGTATAACATGAGCGCTTGATGCATGCACATTTGGATTTACCAAAATTATTTCTATTTGTAATTACAACTTGTGCTTTTATTCATTAGTTTGTAAATTTGTACGACATAAATAACAAATTTTCCACTTACCTCACTGCAATAATCTTTCCAAATGACATTTCAACCTTCCTCAACTGAGCAATAAAAATGGCCGCTACGGCTTCGTAAAGTGCTGTGCCGTCCATGTTGATCGTCGCACCGATGGGTATAACAAAACGAGTGATGCGAGGGTCTAAGCCCATGTCATCACAACATCCGATTGTTATTGGCATTGTTGCTGAACTGAAATCAAGCAATTTACCGACCTCATTTCTATTCTATTGTATTATATTTTGTAAATCTTTTAAAAAAAAATATTTAATTGATATTTTTTGCGATCGAAGCTTCACCTCGCTTCGTTATGATTGTTGTGGTCTACCTATATATATATATATATAGCCACGTTGTGGCGGTGTTGCAATATCCACCCAGATTATTCTGGTCCGCTAAGTTAACACGTGGTAGAGCCATGCTGCAGCTATCTAACTGGTATAGTTGTAGCACGAATGGGTCGGCTCGACCGGGGAAGGACGATGCTCTCAAAGAACACCAGCACAAAATAGCAGCTAAGCCCTGCTGTGTTTCGTATGGTGAGTGTAGAAAAATGGAAACCTTTTTTTACTGGAAACGAGGTATTCCATCTTAATCTTCACGGGTGACAACTATCTGCAATTTGATTCGTAATCGGGAATGGATGTGAATGTCTATGGAATACAGCAATCGCTTACTTTGTCATCCCTATGCATAAAAAAACAGTAACAATAACTTCCGTTTTTGTCGTATTAGGCGCCAGAGGGAAACCAACAGGAGATGGGCAGCAGCAATTAAACTGTGATTTCCAATTGCCAATTAGCAAACAATTTGCAATTTCAATTGCTAATTGCAATAATCCTCCTCATAATTAAGTGTAGGGTGGAATAATATGTACAGCAGTGGAGTACATTAGGCTGTAGTTATTGAATATATGAATGAATAAAATCAAAAGCGGAAAATGACTAAGAATACTTGTGATTTTCCATATATCTAGATCTAGATAATCTGAGATAATAGTTGCACACTATAGTCCGTTCGCGTTAAGAAAATAGTGAGTCATCAGTGCAACTACAGGGTAAAGGTATATTCACAGTGGAGTAAAAATTCTCTTTTTTTTCAAACATTTAATTAAGTTTAATGGAAACAAATTTTCTTAAAATTACTTGAATCACTAATCAGTATCGCTAGATTCTCCAGTTACATTAATTATGAAAGAATTTTGTTCTGCAAGTTCCATGATGTCATCCGAATTCCACATGGTATTTTCTTCGCGTATCACGTGGTCGCAGCACTTCTTCCAACGATTAGCGTCTATTAATGCTATTGCGTCATCTAATAATTTTTTTATGTCACTCATTTTGAACGTGGAGTTATTGGCACCAACATAATTTTTTATTTGGGCCCAAACCAATTCAATTGGATTAAGTTTGCAATGGTAAGGCGGTAGGCGAAGAATTGTAATGCCATTACTTTTGGCAGTCTCATCTATTAAATATTTATTATATTATGGGGTGATTTCGGCAAATTTCATTAGTCATTCTTTTTTTTTAATAAGTTATGTCCATGGATTTGCCTTTGCTTTGCAGCCAATCTATTATTTGCTGCTGGTTCCAGCTGGTTGTTGGTATTTTTTCCACTCTTACCGAATGATAGGGAGCGTTATCTATGACAACCACACTTCCTGGTTCTAGCTTAGGCATTATATTAATGAACCAATTAAGGAATCTTTCACCATCCATCTTTTCATGATAGTCTTTTGTAGAATTAGATTCAAATACTAGTAGACCATCTTCCACGAATCCTTTGTCGCTGCCAATGTGCAATACAATTAACCTTTTACCTTTTTCTGTCGGAGCTTTTGGACCGGCTGATAAGCCATCTAGAAAGGCTTGTCTTTTATTTTTTACCGTTTTATCCAACCATGCTTTTGTCTTTACGTGTCCGGCGTTTACTCACGTTTCGTCAAGATAGTAAATGGTTTTACTAGCGGCTCTGTATTCTTTTTTTTTGCCTCAGACATTTACGCCTCCATAAAACAATATCTTCTCTTTCGACTAACAATGTTCTGCTATCCTATTTATTGAAATCGAAACTAAGCTCGTGCATTATTTTATCAAGTGGGACGTTTGAAAACAGGAATATCTTCGTCAGCTTCGCAAAGTGTCATAATTTTGTCCAATGGCGGGTAGTCGTTATTTAAATATATTGAGTGAACTTTTCTCCTTATTGCACATTTGTCTAGTTCATTTAATTTATCGACTATCGATAGTCCAGCTCTTTTTTTCACGGGTGATTTTAATGTGTTAGTATCCTTTTGTTATTTAATAATTTTATAAATAGTATTTTCGGACACACCACATGCACTTGCTGTTTTTATTACTGTGCTCTCCACAGTCGCATTTAAATCACACAGTTTAAAGTACTTATAAACATTGTAAATTACGCGTCTCTCTCCGCTATGGATTATTGATCCACTTTTATTCTTCCGAATAGGTGAGGTATTCATTTTCAAAATCTAATGTTGAACGAGTAACACGCAAAATACACAACCGTTTTGTTCGAAGGCCTGACTTCAACTGGTCACTGTGAACTCGACTTTCCAATTTCTTGCATTTTAATTGGCTGAGGGGCGTGGCCAGGCCGGCGGACAACGATTACTCACTATTTTCTTAACGCGAACGGACTATAGTGATGAGTAAGCAACCTTCAAGATTCAAAGCAACTTGCCAAGATTGGTAAATTGAAAATTCCAATTTGTTAATGAATAAGTTTATCAATGAACTATGTGAGGTTAATTATGATGGGTCAAAATGCTATCTTATTCTAGGCAATTTTATCAGATACTAAATTTTTGAGTTGCCTTTGTTTATTAACAATTAAGTACTTATGTTCTTAAAATTTAGGCACTAATCTATATTTTAATGTGGAGCCAAAAACTTCTTTTTTACCTGGAAGCAGTCCCAAAAGCTGTGGCCATGACTTGACCCATCTTAGCGATGTAACGGCAGGGTAATTTCTTTGTGGCTAATATGAAAAGAATGCTGAGCGTTCCGAATCCATGTATGAAAAGACCGAGGAGTACAGTCATAAAGTATAGACCCAACCGACCCACTAAGTCAGCAAACGAATCTATTTCCATAATCTTAGCTGTCACTAAGAAGAACACACCAAGTGGAGATAACCTGGACAAAAATTTTAACAGTTACGATGCAGTACGATAAAAGACAAAAATATTGTTATGACTTAGTATATTGGTAATATATTGGTAAGTAATTTATATACAAGTTGCAGTTTAAAAAAATGTAAAATTCCTTAATCGTATATTAGAATTTCACAACCAACGAGCAGTCCACCTCGGCTTCGCCTGACTAGGATAGGATGATAGATTTAGATTAAAGACCTTTTATTTTATTCGTTTTGTTTTTATATGTCCAATTTTTTGGGATAAAATATAATCTAGATCCTCATAATTCCTAGTAATTCTCTCTATATATTTGTGAAGTTTAATTATAATTGGATAAGCCATTCCTAAAATTATCCCGGACAGACTGACAGACAAACAGACAGGCAAAATTAAAAAAAGGGTTATTGTGCCTTAACGTGATGCAAAAAACCACTTGAGCCTTACAGAAGTCTGTTATTTTATACATTCTTCTGGCGTTTATAGGTGTCGCAATGAATTTCACCCTAAATTCACTCCAGACTTTTTACTGTTAATATTTGTTACTAATAATTCGAACTCGGCGCCAACTGTAATTTAATTATTTGCTATAGACCTATATTTGTATATTGCGAATGTGAGACATTTTAATTTATAAATACAGAATTTGTTGACTGCTTCGGTTGTATAGTGGTCGAAAGCGAAAGCAGGTAAAGCCGTTGGTCATGGCTCGCCAGAAGGCCTCTTTCGGTTAGTGGAGGCGTAATGAGCTTCCTTCTGGATTTACTCCGAACTTTTTAGAGTTTAAATATAAAATATACTAATAACTCGCCTACAGCGTTACCTATCAGTTCTTAGCATAGCTATGAATGAACCTTTCCCTCGGTGTAACAAATATATCATGTAAATATAACCATAATAAGTCAATTCTTTGAGAAGTTACACGGTCACTTAGAGACGCACTTACGATTTGACTTTGTAACTGATGAAGAATTACCAGTATAGTGTAGTTATCCACCAAATAAATTAAAACTTAACTGAACATGAAAGTCAAATAATTGAACTCTTATTAATACTATATCTAACTATAATCTTCAATTTGTTTACATTGTATTTTATCCTACGTTAATACTTTTATTAGATAAATGAAAAATCGTGCCATGAAGATACAAGAAATTAGATTAAAAAATTAAACTAATTTATTACAATTAGCTGCAATAATTCACAAATCTATTTACCATATCACCCATCCAGTAATAATCATCATAGCTTCTGAAAAAGTGTGAAAGAAATCTTGAAGCGGGCGACTCTTATCACCCATTTTTCCAAGTGTGATGCCTAGAACTATGCTAAAGCACACCAATCCCAGCACATTACTGCCATTCTGGTAATCTCCGTCGATCTTGTAAGTCTCTAACTGACCTAAAATTAATAAATTAAAGCTAAGTCAGCAACTGTTGTATTTACTTCACAAGTTACCTACACAATAAATTTAAGATTTGAATTTAAGATACTGAATAAAGAATTTTGAATAAAGTATTTTGATTTTTTTAATAAAAAAATTTATAATGTGTTAATATGGCCTTAAAAAGAAGGAGGATTATATAAAAGTTGGAGAATTATATATCTATTTGCCTTTGTCTTAGTAGATCACGAAATACAACTACAAAAGCTTGATCATTATGGCATCAGAGGCAAAATGTTGCAACTCATGACATCCTTCTTAAGTAATAGAAGTTAGTATGTAGACGAGAGATGACATACTGTACCTCAAGCCGAGACTTTTGCATTAGAGGGGTCCCACAAGGATCCATTCTGGGTCAACTGCTCTTCATTTTCCTTATTAACGATATGATAAATTACATTGAAACTTATTTACTTATTTACATGATGTGCAAGTGATAGTTTTCGCTAATGATGCAAATGTATGCTAATAATATTGAGGAACTCGAAATTAAAGCTAATCTAGTGTTGACATTATTTACTAAGTGGTACACCATTAACAATGTTACATTACACGAGAGCAAAAATAGAGTGATGTTATTTAAGTCGACAAGTCATAACCGAGATAAAATTAAGGTTAAGATTAATCGCTGTAACGTAGAACAAGTAAATACAGTATAGGCACTTTAAACCGGAGGGCCGAGCTGACTTCCATAGAAATTACTATCATTAATTTAGCATGTTATGCACTTAAAATAAGGTTGTAATTACAGAAAAACCCCGAGAAGGCGCATAAGTAGCGCAAAGACATTACAAAAATAACATTATGACATTAATACTTACGTATTGTACTTAGTATATAACCTAATAATTAAATTTAAAAAATACGAACATATTTAATTGTAATATACCAAAAACAAATAAATTTTATTGTGTGACTTTTTAAAACTTAATTCTTTTTTAAATAGTCAATATTAATCCTTTTTTTTGGAAATTCCTAATTTTCACTGCTCTCCAACTTGATGTACTCGTGAAGCGTTGTAGTATAACAAAATTCCTAATTCGTTATTATTCATATTGGTGTAATATTTAACATTATTATAAATAACTTAACTAAAATAATAATTAAAATTATAGTATTTACGATTAAAACTAATTATATATACAATATAAAAGAAGAAACTATAATATAGAAAACCTAAAACTAAAAATTTTAATCGTCAAAAAGACCTGCTCCCCCGTGGTATAGTGCCAAGAACGCTGGCTGCGTTTCCTCGCTGAATAGCTATACTTAGCCTTTGAGCGAGGAAAGAACCAGCCCTCTTATCACCAGCAGCGACGACCAGTCGTGGATACAGTTCCTTTAGAAACTTCATTGCACGTGGACCCCACGGACCGATAGTCTCTACAGCAAATGGCACAAATATGTAGTCATTTCTCAAAGACTCATATTTGCGCCATTTACTAAATTCGGCTGCCTCTGATGCCGCCCCGGCTCTACAACAGGTATCCTTGAGATGAGAGGCCGCCAAAGTGTCAACGCAAGTAGCATCCCACACTAGGGCTTTACCTCTCTCCCAAGGGACCAAAGTCATACCGACGGGTCTCTTGCCATCGTCTCTAAATATCCCGCAAGGCTCTAAAACCGAGGGGATATTTATAGAGACAAGAGCCCTTCGGATGATTTCGTTCAAAGAACCGTGACGGGAAAACCTACCTGCACTTTTTTTGGCATGAAAGTCCGTGGAGCCCAAACTCATCGACGCTGCTACCACAGGGGCACTGGTGAGGTTGACAAATAGCCACTCCTAGCCGGATTCCTACGGCGATGCGCAAGCTTTCCCCATCAAGCAATGTGCCGAGATTACTTGATGGTAGAGCATGTAACCAGTGGCTAGATTCCTTAGTCGAAACAGCTAGAAGGCGAGCCTGATCTTGTTGAATATGGAAATTTTGAAATAAATTTTGGTGGACACTCCGTACCAACGGAATATCCCACTGTTTTTGTTGGTTAACTTCCAGTGGGACATTTTCGCCGGGACAGAGCGTTAGCCATATTTGCTTTGCCTCCACAGCAAAGCATAGGTCTACTTTATTATTTAAAATTGTGTTACATAGGTCATTGACACTATGCACGGAAGCAAGGAAAGCAGGCAATGCGACGCTAGAAATATTTCTTATACCAATTCCACCAAATTTGATAGGTAAAGTGGCTTGATTCCAGGCTATTGTATTTAATCTCAAATTTAGAACGTTTTCTAAAGCAATTTTAAGACTATTATCAATATCTTTTAAAATATCCGAACATTTCCAGACTGGACTTGAGCGTAACAAGTATGTAAATTTAGGTACAAGGACACAATATTTTAAAATAGTAAGGGCAATATGGGGGTTTAAAATATATAATTTATCAACGTGATTTAAAAATTGATCAAATTTTGTTTTTAAAACAGGTTTAATACTATCGAAAAACAACGGAGCACCAAGCAGGTAAAGCGATTCCCAATTGACAGTTTTTATTCCTGGAGAAATCTGATTGAAATTTTGAATTAAGGTATCTCTTTTAGAATTAGATAAATTATTAGAAATAAATATTTCACATTTATTTGTATTTGGTTCAAGACCAATATTTTTAAAATTTTGAAAAATATGAGTAAGATCATTGAGGACGTCATCTGCTTTACCTCCCAGTGTACCGTCGTCCAGATACCAGACATTCAGCTTGGATTTTAAATTTGAAATAATAGGTTGAATTCCCAAACTGAAAAGAGCTGGACCTAATGGATCCCCCTGCTGAACACCGACAGCAGACTCAATAATATGGTTTTGATAAAACAAGTTTGAATTTTGACTGTAACATTGCCAAACGTAATGATATATTTCGGGGGTATTGTTAGCCACTTCTTTCAGCAGGGTTATCCTATCAATAGAGTTGAAAGCATTTCTAAGATCAACCTTCAGAAGAACATCTGCATCGGAATTAGTTAAGAAAGTACGCACCGAATGTACCGCCGCCTCACAGCCACCTTTGGTGCCAAAGCCTAGTTGAGTAGGTTGAAATTTTGTCTTAAGGTTTGAGATTATGTGCCTGCAAGCTAATTTTGAAGTTAAGCGTCGAAATGTAGAACCAACAGCAATAGGACGGATACCGTTATCCTTTTTTTTGAAGGCACACAATCTTGCCCCATATAAGTAGGGAATGAAATTGGGATTGACATTACCAGAAAGCATAAAATTACATAATTTTGTTATTTCATTAAGAAGTACCCTACCGGCATCACCGGCAGATACGCTTACAAGGTCTTTGAGATGCTGAGGCGTAATCCCGTCAATGCCGCCGGCAGAGTCATTCGAAAATGACAATATTGCGTCTAAAGTGTCTTTTTCGGAAACTTGTAATGATTGCATAGAAGTATTAGGAGGCAGCGGTAAATTCTGGGAAGGATTGACCGAAGGATGTTTCTGACGAAGGCCTTCAAGAGTTTCGACATTACGAGGAGCGAGGATGTCATCTGAGAATAAAATACGGGATGCATTTTTTAAGTCGCCGTCCATTACTTTTGATTCAACTACTTTTTTTAAATCAAATTTAGGATTAGGTCGAGGGAAATGAGTATTAATCGGGTAATTCAAATTTTGAAAAGAATTTTCTTTTAGTTGAGACGTAATTGATTTATTTATTGTTTTACTAAAATGAAAGTGGGAATACGCGAATGTAAATAATTTTTGCCAACTTTTTTCACAATTTGTTAGACAATTTTGAATGGTTAATGATAACGCTTTAGCAAGTTGCATCCTCGCGCCTCTTGGAATTCTTTTAACCACTGGTACGTTACTATACAAATTGTATAATTGTTTCGAAAAAAGTGAATAATTTGTGTCATTAGGTATATTATCAGAAGAGTCATGAATTTCTACGGTAGGCTGTGAAGCCGAAATATTTTTACTATGGCATCGTTTAATGTGTATATTTAATCCCTTTTTACCTTTAAACAGCCTACCGTCGGTACAATTTTGACATCGTAGGAAATCCGGCTGTGAATGTATTGGAGCGATAATATTCATAGAACTTGTAAAAAAAATAAAAATGTAAAAATATATCTACAGCACTCAAAAGTTTATAATTTAGTAAAAATCAAAAAGCTTGAAAATTAAAAAGAAAAACCTAGTTCTCGAGCTTTGTTTATCGCCTTAAAACAATCTAATATTAATATTGTGTACGATGAATCACCAGGCGTTGCATCTTGAAGTGACCTACAACTATAACCGCTTACAGTTGATGGTTTCAAAGCTTCTTTTGGTGACAATCTCAATAAAACGCTCAAACATCTCAATAAAAACGCGGCATTCGTGGTTTTCTTGGGATCAGTAGAAGTGTAGTGAGCATTGATTTTGTTATTTTGACGTTGTTCTATTTTCTCTTTTAATATTTCTTTAAAGGTCTCCCTGGCATTAATGTTGCAAAATAAAATATATTCTTGGTGTATTCGGCCATCGTCATTTCGTGTCATCAATAAAACGTAAATTAAGTAGTATTTTTAGGAATTTCAGGAATAAAATATAAATATATTCTAATTAAAATATTTGGTTAAAATATACGACAGTTGTCACCTGTCACTTTTTTGTCAATTATTCATTTTTTATCAAATATTCGTTATGTTATATATTATATAATGTACAGAAAATTATAAGCTGTGCTGATTATAAGACCTTTGCAAGGTTGTTCATATAAAGGCTCCATTTTGATTTTTAAAGGTATATAAAAAAGAGATGGCATTTATTTTACCAAAAACGCATAAGCTATTAACATCAACAACTTCAACTGTAAATGACGTCATAAAGTGTGAACTAATGTTAAAGTGAGGCCATTTGCTAGTGATAAAAAACAGACTTCAGAAAACTTCATTCAGTCAGAACAGTCTTTTTATGTCAATTTATCAAAAGTTTTTTCTCATCATTATCTATCATCTTGGTTTTGTTTATAAAATACGAATATATATTTTTATTTCTTACGCAACTCATTTACTCGATTTATAATAATTTTATTCAAAACAACCCTTGCGTTGCTACGTTACGAGAGACTTTCTTCTTAAAGTTTAAATTTATTTTAAATTAACAAACAGTTTATGCAAGGTTACTCCGTCAATCTATACAAAGTACGCTATGCACGGACGCACAAAATACTGAGATTTTTTACAGTTATTTTATACGTGGTAGAGCCATGTTGCTGTTATCCGGACCGACCGGGGAAGGACCACACTCTCGCAGAATACCAGCGTAAAATAGTACCTTAATGCTGATGTGTTTCGTATGGTGAGTTTAGAGGACCGGAGACCCTTTTTAGTGGAAACGAGGTATTCCATCTAAGTCCTCACGGGTGACAACGCATCTGAATTTTGATTCGTATTAGATGGTAGATGTAGATGTCTATGACCCACAGCAACTACTTACCATCAGGTGGAATGTGTGCTCGTTTGTTACCCTCTCCTATAAAAGAATAAACTATTTTTTTTACTCATAGGCTATGTGATTGAATTCACCACAAAATTAGCAGTTATTTTAGAACCAGTCTTCAAAAATGCTGAAGTCGACGTTTGTAATGTGCTCTGCGTTGTTATAGCTGTTGTATGATAAATCGAAATCAAATCGAATGAAACCTTAACATTATATACCGATCTAAACTTCATACGTCAATATACAATTAGTATTTAGATTTATGTAGATTGAATCCATTGACTTATATATTACTAGAATTGAATGATTTTAGAGTAACTATGTTAAAATAATATTTTCTACCTTTAATCATGTTGGTATCGTTCATGTCGTAAACTAATCTAGTTCGGTAAGATGCGATTGTAGCCTGGGCAATGTTCTCTGGAAACACATTCCTGAAATCAAAGAAAATATAATGTGAGAAATATGTACCAATGCAAAAATGTATAACCGTACGTATTGTAGTTAGTATATAACCGTATTATATTATTATATACTTTTAGTGTTTAGGATTAGGGATTTGTTGAAAATCAAGGCTTTTCCCAGTTTGAAGGATAGTTAAAGTAATGATAATTAATTAAAATAGAGAGATAGCATAATGAATTTAAACCTTATCTCTGCATAGAAAAACTTAAATTAGATATATTGTGAGATATTTGATTTTTATGAACCCCAAATTTTAAAACGTTCAAGCTATACTCTACTTAAATTAGGTAAAGTAAATAAGTAGCCACTGAAATCTTTCTTAAGAGACCATTCATAGGATTAACCGGAGACCTTTTTACTGTAATGAGGCATTCCACCTTAGTCTTCAGGGATGACAACGCATATATAATTTGATTCGTATTCGAGGAGAAACGATGCCGACGTTTGCATGGAGCATGACTGAACTATACGCTCGTTTGACACCATCACTTATATAAAACAAGTTTATCCAAACCTGGACAACCTGTATTGGCGGTGTAAGAATACCCTCTATCATATATTGTCCCATCATTGTCGTAAGAGACGATAGAGTGAAATAAACTAAGAGATACGCAACAGCGACTTCCTAATAACAACTAGATATTAAAATCTGCCAAGCACTGTAACTATGACATATATCCCCATAGTGCGGTTCACTGTGAAGAGGCCAATGTTCAGAGGTGTTTCTATTTTCTCCATTATCTATTTATCATTTATACTTTCATTACAGCCTACCAAAAGTCCACTGTTAAACATATGACTGTCTCATAGATTTCCTCATAGTGGGACTTACTGACGTCATAACAACAGTGGACGCCAAAACTAGTAACACTAAGAAAAGACAGCAGACGCCCTTAAGGTTGGAAATAGCTAAAGAAATAAAACAGGAGTCATTTTGTTAGTACAAGTTGCTTTGCTTTCTTTATTATTAATTAGTCCTTATTCTGGGTCTACAATAGCTTGTTCTTAGAAAGTTTTCTTAAAGTTTTCTTCTTTTTAGGGAGATATTTTTACGAAATACACATTTTAGTTTCTGCGCCTGTCGATGAAATAATCAAACACACACAATCATTAAACAAGTATTTACAGCCATTTTTAACTTCATCGAATTATTAATCTTTAGAATTACTAAGCAATAGAGTATTTTTATAATGGTGTTGCCATTATGAATAAGATCTGTATCCATTCTCCATCGCTCCATTCAATACAACCTATAAAAGTCCATTGCTGAATAAGCCTTCTCTACAAATTACCGCACAGGAAAGATTTTGCCATATTTGCCACTCTTGGCAGGCGGCTTGGCGCTTGGCAATCACAGTTTTTTTTATTATTTTGAGTTTTCATCAGGAAGATGCTGCTACTCATCTTGTTTCAGTTTTTGACCTTCGCCTCTTACGACACCACAGGATGATATGAGGTGGTGGGTATTCTTACATTGCGACAAGCGATTTGCTGACGACAATGAGCTTGAGTCCGCTGTAAATTAGCATTTTACAGGCCAGAATAAAGAATATTTTTACAAGCGAATAGAAAAGCTTTTTTCATTTAATTCATTTCATATTGAAAAATTAAAAAAATATATTTCATAATTTTATATTTTTTTTTTCTAACACACCCATATCGAGAATACATTGAACGCCCCTCGTAGCAAGCCAATCAATACATAATTTACCAGTGGATAAAGTTCGACAAAGAAGTGAAGGGTTTTTCATTACCCGTAGTCATTTTAAGGGGGGTCAATCTTAATCGTCACGCTCGGCTGGCGGATTTACGATCACAGTGCACATGCTCTAGGTATTTTATGTCTGACAAAACGAGATGGTTAGAACGCCAGCTATCGGAAGACATAACATTTTCCTGACATTTCCCATTCCTCTTACGAATTCATGTCCATTATATAGAGAGAGGGACTCTCTAACGCCCCCAAAATAAGACACACAATAATATTTTGATTAACTTTATATTGACTTACTTCACTAACAAAAATAACATCTCTTGATAATAAAACAATTTAGTTTTTATACGTGGTAGAACCATCCTGCATGCATTAGTAGTATAGTTGTAGCACCAATGGGTCAGCTCGACCGAGGAAGGACTACGCTCTCACAGAATATCAGCGTAAAATATTAACTTAACGCTACTGTGTTTCGTACCGTTCCAATTTTAGTATATGTACTGCCGAAGCAAGTACACACATTCGTTTACAATAGATCTTTTAGGTCGCAGTGATACTGGCCTCTTTCCCTAGACCTGCAAAGCTGCTCGCATATAATACTCTGTGTGTCGTTTAGTAGGTGTAAAAAACCGCAGCCCCTTTTTACTGGATATGAGGCATATTGGTTCTCAAGTGACAACGTATCTGCATTTTGATTCGTAATTGGGAATAGATGTGGATGTCTAGAGGCCACAGCAATCTCTTAACATCAAATGGTCAGGCCATTGTGCTGTTTGTCACCCCAATCATATAAAAAAAACACTTTTAAGTTTTAGACTTCAATTGCAACTTCTCTGTCACAGCACGGATGGAAGTTCATTTTTATGGGCATGGACAGTAAAATTGCATAACGATGATACCGAGTAACATATGAAGATTGCTTGATATCCTCAATAGCCCTACAAATATCCGACGTGAAGGACGAATCTTTTAACCAAATTAAAAGGCGCGATTCGCATTCACCGGAGCGCGAGAGGTCGGGAACTTCCGGTATTATTACATCTGTTAACCAATTGAAAAACAATATAAACTTTGCAATGTTACGACCATGAAAATGTATGTAACAGTTTAATGTTTAAATTACATATTTATTTCATAGAGTTTATTTAAGTATTGAACGGTTTATTAAGCCAATTAGCAAACATGACGCTTTACCAAATTATATTTATTCGTAGCGTAAAAAAACCTAAAATTAAAGAACGGTAACGCATTTTTAATTTTAGTAATAATTTTAAAAGTTTCACTAAATGTTGACTATTCCGTTATTAGTTACTTTTGATAAAAGTAACTCGAAAATTTAAGGCGATACCTCGAAAATTTAGTGGTTTTTTCTATTTAACATATTTCTTTAATTTTAATAGATTACGAACCAAATTTTGGTATATGATTTTTACTAGATGATCTTGGATTGCATAAAAGGAAAACACGACAACATGTAGTCTTCTCGATACAAAAGATTGTAAAGCGGGCTCTAGTTAGTAACATTTCTCCATGCCTCCACAATATTTTTAGGAGTAGTAAACTTAAAGTAAAGTTTCATCCTATATACGTCTCACTGCTGAGCACAGGCCTCCCCCCATTTCTCAGAGGGTTTTAGGGCAAGGAAGTGTCCGCCACGCTGCCCCAATGCGTGATGGCGAACTTCACATGTCTTCGAAATATTTTTTTTCTTATTCCTCAGACATGCAGGTTTCCTCACGATGTTTTCCTCCACCGCCGAGCACGTGGGAAATCAGCACTTAAAATTGAATTAACAATTTCATTGGTGCTGGCTGGGATCGAACCCGGGTTAATCGCGTTCTGTTATATTTACAGCGATCGTTAACCAGCTGAGCTACCACGACTTTTTAGGAGAAAGTTCATGGAATAATTTTCAAAGCATAGTAAATTATCGTATCTAAGTTCACATAAACTATTTTTAATCCATAGCGAAGTTTAGTCAAAAAACATAAAAATGTTGTAATCGGTAACTATAGCTATCTCATAATTTGCGTACATGAAGTTATTGCATCACTTTCACTTTGATACTCCCTTAATCGTCCTTGAGGTTTTAGGGGCGTTCTGTTCTGTTCGTTTTCGTTCACCGATAAAGGGCTAGGCCACGCCCCTAATACTACGATTCACTTTCAAGGGATCCTCTTATATGAACAAGAGTTCAGTATAGAAGCGTCACAAGTTCGATCCAAACCGGTATCAATTACATTAGTAATTGCAATTTTATCTGCTGACTGACCGCGTGTTGGCGATATGGGAATGTTAAGTCCGCCAACACGCACTGAAGCATCACGGTGGACTTATTGCTTTATAGCTAACCTGTACCCAGCAGTGGGACTTATATAGACAAAGTTTAATTTTTATTTAGATAACTAGCTTTGCCCCACGCTTCGACTTTTGCTATTCTAAGTGATGATGATTTATTTATAAATTAAACTGTCTCGAAGGCTTAGAAAAACACTAATCTGAATAAAGACATTCATTTAGTCGGACAATCAAACAAACAAACGAACTGACATATAAAAGAACCAAGAAACGAATAGGGTAATTACTGTACGTTTGTTTCTTATTTTTAAATAAACAACAAAATGACCGCAATAACGTAATCCCTAATTTGCTATCGGAATTCCCTAGCCAATACCTGATTTCTATACAACAAATAAAGGAATGCCCTAAAGAAGCAAGCACCATCAACAGTTATTAATAAAAAATAATAAAATTGAAATAAAAACTACAATCCAAATCCTACCTAAAAATCCAAAAAACGCCTACCTAAAAATAAGTACCTACACTAACAAAATAAATCAAATTGCGTAAGTATCTATATTTTGCGTCATCCATCACATAAATAAAACTAAACTCAACCTAGGAAAGTTTTTGACCTTTAAATAATAGGTGTGATTGGACTTAAAATCGGTTGGGTTTTCTATCAAGAAATTCTCAGTAACAGCCCGGAGTCAAAATTTTAGCAGTGTTTTCACCCTGCCTCAGAAAGCACGTAAAGCCGTTTTATCTGTATCTGATCTCACTATATTTTTGTCGGATTACCAACTCAGACACAATGATAAATAGACAATTTTTAATATTTTGTATATACCTAGTGATCAATAAGGGCAGATTTTTGTAAAGGTCAATAATAGGTATAGTGTTGCCCAAATGCAACAACAAAACCAGACTTAGCCAGTCTTGGTCTTGGTCTTGCGCCAATACACCTGGTTTTGG